GCATACCGTTTGCAGAAAATAGAATTACTATACAACACGGTCGAAGCAAAATATCACAAACCACACGTAAAACGTTTTGAAAAGAAACTCATTAACGATCCTGGAAACCACCAGCCACCAAGGTCATCAGATCCGGACAACGAAAGCACATAGGGAGTAACCTGCCAGAGAAGACAAAAGAGTGGTTTTTGGTCAGTAATCCAGAGAATTAAATCCAAACACAACCCAGAGACGCGAGGAAATAAGGATATAAAGTCAACGCTATATTAAGCCATAATTATACCCATAACATATGACCCAGCTCTAGCGTTTTCGCCAAAAAATCAAAAACATCATGACTGAACAGAAAGAAGCATAAACCTTTCACACTCTTATCCCTCTCAGTAGCAACGTTACTTGTGAGATTATAAGTTAAAGGAACGCTCCATTCACGTAACGAGGACCTCTTAACAGCAAGCGGAGTTGACGAAATGGTCGAATTGCGATAAGATGAGGTGTCCATAACAGCTGCATTTTCATGTTTACAAAAATATATCAGCAGCTATACCATAAAAACATACGCGACCAATTGACGATTCGTCTGCTGTTCCATTAAAATATCCATAGACAGTGTTGATATTGCTTTTGCCTCGCGTACCCCCGGAGAATGAGTGTCAGTAGAATCACGGGGCACCTGCAGTAATTAAATACAAACAGAACGAGTATCATAATGTAAGTCACATCAAAGTAATCACTTGAATAAACTCAAAAACATGACCAGAGAGACACCTACAAGACTCGTTCTCCTCCGAGCCCCAGCACAAAAGAGGAGTGATCATGAAGGTTAACAGTAACCCAATATTTCTTCGCGTCAACATTTGATCCCAAAATCCCATATTGCGAACCATCTAAACGACAAAAATGTTCGTAAACGAAAACCCCCTATTAAGGGAAATAGGAATGGTCATAGAGATATGTACCAACTTGAAAAGCCCGATTACATCCAGCAAACTGTAAAACACCAGGTCCCCCAAACTCGAGTAAACAGGCAGTACATTCAAGTTTTGGTGGTTGACAGATCGGGATAGCAGGAAGGTTGGAGTCCACTTCAGCGATACTACCTTCATCAATATCCATCGCGTCGTTACTATCATTATCGACAGCTCTAAAATCTTCTTTATCCCCTGTAAAATCTCCAAAGGTGTTAAACATCTTGTGCAATAAAGTGAGAATGTATAACCAGGAAGAGACTCACCATCAAGGCCACCGTTTACTAAAGTTTCAGCTGAGGTCCCGTCACATAAGTCCAAATCTTCAATTTCAAAGATACCATCTTCGTCGATCTAAAACGAACAAAAAAAAAAGTTTGATTGCCATTAGTTAAAAGCTTTTGCAATGATAAAATAGAATAACAAACTCTACTTACAATCACATTTGGCATGTTTTTGTATCCTGCTGTTGTTGCAACAACGTCGTATCATCATCGTCGCCGCCAACTGCGAGTTGTACTGGATGCACTGCTTCAGAGGAAAATGTGTTAGTAGACGAGAGCAAAAACAACAGTTCCTCGAATCCCCCGCGCAAAAAGTGCCAAAGACCGTTTGCAAAAACAGAGAGGAGAAAGAACGTATTGGAGACAAAAAACGTACCTGCTTTGTTTCCACCAGGCGTCAAACTGAACACCACAGTCGAGACTCTGGCTTTACTAAAATCAATCGGTGGCGAACGTTCCCCACCATAAAATCAAGTGGAGAACCAGTGGAAGGAGAAGTTGGAGAGGTAGACGTCATGATTATATCAAATAAATCCAAGACTGTACGTTACGAACGAGAAAAAACTACTTATCAACGCTATCGATCACCTCGAGACAAAAGACAAAGTTTTGATATATTCAAAACACGTAAAGGCAGAAGAAACAGTCAAAAATACAATTGCCGTCCCCACAATTTAATCAAACGAAGAATCAAATAGGAGGCAAAAAACTAGAACAAGAAGAAGTAACAAATAGTTACCAACGAAACCAACGAGGTCCAAAAAAAAAGGTCAAACTCAACACAACAGAATTCATCCCTCCAGAAGAAAAACGATCAGCAGTTCCCATACACCTTACTTCAAAATCAAACACTAGTAGTAACCCCCCCAAAAGCCGTCTTCAAAACGGTACTTTCACAAACCCCAAACCCGATTCTCAAGTTCTTCCCATCAACAACCTTACTGGCAAATCCCTTAATCTCAACACTATCACCATCATCAAGGAACGCGCGTTTCAATGATCCGTCCTCGTTCAGTGAGATTGGTTCTTTACCATTGGTGGTGGCTTCAAGGAGACATCCGGCTGCGGTTGGTTCCTGTTGTATAGTAATTTTTCGTAGGTTGTTGTATTTTACGGGCAAGGGATTAATATAGTGTTTGGTTTACTGTTTGAAAAAGGATCCCGAAAAAAGCAGGTTGTGAAGAAAAAAAGGAAAAGGATAATAAAAACTTACAGATCCACTGATGGTACCACTTCCGCAAAGATCTCCAGGACGCATGTTACAACCGTTAATAGTATGATGAGCAAGTTGTTGTTTAAAAGTCCAGTACATGTATTTAAAGTTGGTACGACAAGTGGTATATTTGGTTGATGATCCAGCAGCTATATATATAGATATGGTGTCGCAGCAATGAACGAAAAAAGTGAGAAGACAAAAAAAAACGATAGGTTGCATACATAAGAATAACCAAACAGATACTTACGTCTAACGGTACATTCAAGGTTGATATCATACGCATCAGCCTTGCTAGAGCCGTCTAAAAGGTATTCAGCGGGGGTAGGATCCTAAAAACACAACAGAATGAGAGATAAGTTTATTGCACAATACATACAGAAAATGAAAGAAAAAAACACCAACCTGAACAGGTTGAGGAACACGGAAAGCCTCAAGAGCATCAAGAGTCACAATCCAAGGAGAGATAACAGTACCAAAGTTCTTTCCCAAGAAGGGACCAAGAGGCTATTGGATAATAATGATGGAAGGAGAAACAAACAAGGAGACATCAGATTTCCGGAACATCCCGAGACAGACTGATGTGAAGCTATCAATAGGCTATAATACATACCACATACTCAAAGGCTTGAATATCACGAGCTGTTTAACATTAGTGGGAGTAGATTAATATTAAAGGGTTTCTATTAAAACATTGAAAATTAAAAGAAAGATAAGAACAAACAAGAGATAACTCACCACTCCAATCGTTCATGAGCACCATACCAAAGATATGGTCATCAGCCTGTGAGATTTCAATCCTGTCACCGAGTTCATTTCCAACACCGACAAAGAAAGCCTATGTATATTATGAGAATGAAAGATATTAGTCTACAACCAAAAACAAAGAAGAAATGAAAAAAGCAGCAATCTTTTCAAATCACAATCACTATTTATGACAACATATAGCAAACCACACTCACAACTTCCAATTCATAATCAAGTTTCTTTGACGGACCGAATGAAACTTCCTTTGAAACCGGGTTCTGAGTAAGCCCACAAGGACGACGAACAGGAGTTCCCGAAACAATAACAGAAGAAGCACGACCATGATAACCAACAGGCAAACGAACCCTATACATATATTTCAACACAAACTACAATCGACAAACATATAAACAACAACAAAGATAAATACCCACCAATTTGGCTGCAAAGCATTCTCCCTTCCTCTAAACATAGCACCAACATTTGTCGCATGTTCCTTTGAAGCATAAAAATCAGTGTAATCCCCAATATCGGCTTGCAAATGACAAGTAACAGAGGATACGGGTAAAATGGCAGATGATCTTAATGCAGGATCGTCACGTAATGGTGATGCAGTTGATGATGAGAGTAAATGTTGTAATGTTGTTCTTGCCTCTCGCCATGTTGAACGACCCAGGGACATGAATTTGTTTAATGTGGGCTATCATAGTATCATTTTAATAGGGAACCGTATTAGAGTTGGTAGAACCAGGTTGAATTGAATGTAATGTGAATTGGTTATTTTCGTTCAATACCTGTGAAAAGACTTCGATTGCTTGGGTTTTGAGAAGGGGACCGTTGAAGAGACCTGCTTTGGCGATAGCGCGAAGGTCAACGACATGGTCACCGACGATGGTTGCAGGACGTCTGCTGGTCTGTGTGTTGTATGTCATAGGGCAAGAACATGCATGGTTAGTATGGATGATTCTTTGATCCAATACAGAACTGGGAAGAAATAAAGCTCCATGCAAGCGAGCAATGAATGTTTATGTTTTGATGTTGACATGGCGATGGATCAGGGACTGGTTTATATGAACTCTTTTCATCAACAGTACGCATTTTTCTTCCACTGTTTACATAATGACTTTCTGAACTCACATCATTCTGTGTAGAGATGATACCGAATGGGATATTCTCGAGAGGAAAGTCGCTGTTGTCGGGGATAGGAATGAAGGAGGCCATTGTTGGTTTGATCGGCAACTGGGGAAAACAAAAAAAAAAAAATAAATGGAAAATTTGATCAAAAAAGTTAAAGTTTTTCAAGAATCCTATTCATATCGCATCCCGATCGCCTGTCGGACACACACCAACAAGCCCAGGTTGATGCCGACAACGACCACAGCAACTAAAAAAAATCCTGTTATGTGTGTGAAGGAGTTTGTGGAGTATCATGTTAAGGAATCGCGTTAAGGATGAGTGAACGAGTCGCGTCGAGTTCCCATTATCCAATATGACAGGCGTACGTGTTGGAAAAAAAGAGAGAATTGGGCGACCTCTCTTTTGCCATCACTTTCTAGTTCAACGCTTCCTTTGTCAACCCTACCAACCAACAAGCCAACAACGGCGACACTTACACCCATGTTCAAGTTCACCATAATCGAAAATTTAGTAATAGCAAATGCCCAAACAGCACATGAAGTACTAAAAAAAATTTTGTTTGAGGTGGACCAGGAACGACATTCACACAAACGCCAACAGCCGCATCGAATAATATAAAAAATAGCAAAAGTGAATTAGTTATACAAAACGTGCCGACTACCCGATTTGAACGGGTGCTCTTGTCATTACAAGTGACACGCCTTAACCACTTAGCCAAGCCGGCGGATATGTTTGGGGAGGAATCTGAATGGTGTTGGATGTGAAATGGGTGATGATCAAGAAGTTCGGTTGGTGGCTGCATAAGGGTCAAGCATGGTTAAGGATTCTTCATGGGACAAGGAATGTACGTACCCATTATGTATGCAGTCTTGAGTCGCGCGGAACAGACTCTTGCCTCATTGTTTGAAATATTGACCATATCACCAAACATCATATGAAAGCAAGCAAAAAAAGTAGTGTGTATCTGTCTGTATTCACGCGTATGTCTATTCTTTGAATTTCAAATTCTGGAGTTTTCAAATGAAGTGGACTTTGACTTGACTCTTCAAAAATTTTTTCAACAAAAGGCAAAGGCAAAGTTATGAAGCGCAAAGCAGAAGATCACACTATTGCGTCCATACTAGGTAATGACAACGGTCAAGAAGACGACGACATTGCACTCGCAAGACGTCTGCAAGCCGAATTCGACAACGAAATCGAATCCAAAAGACGCAAAATAGAAGATGACGATGCTGCATATGCTAGACTCCTCATGGCTGAGTTTGAAATGGAAGATCAACAACAACAAGTTCAAGA